AATACCTTGCTTGATCTTCTTCCAAGCTAAGTTCTTTGAGAGTATATAATGAAAAATGAAGAAAAAAGAAAGAGAAATGAAGAATGAAACTGGGTTTTCAAAACCGCGTGCATTGAAGAAAAATTGGCTGAATTTTCACCATTTTCAATTACGGCAAAGCAAAGATTTTTCTTTTCCTCATCATCTGGTTCTTTTGTAAATAGATTCATCGTCGTCTTGGAATTTTTAATGAAGGGCTGCTCGAAAGTGACATTTGTGGTGGGGTAATGTAATGTGAAGTTCCATTCCTCTCCTTTTTTCTACACTTTCTGCGTTTAATGACTTTCTTCATTATATATTGTAATTAATTAATAATTCTTTAGGCAACAAATATATTTTTGATAAGATTGCAAATATTTGACTTTGTCAAATGCATAAAATTAAAATGAAATAAATTAAAATAAAATAAATACATAAGGATAAAAATGGCATTCCGTTGCTTTCGGAGACTCAAAGTAGCATAGCAGACCAGATACTTTTGGAGTGGTCTACACTATTAATTTCTCAAGAAATTGCTGTCCAAAATTAGGGGGGAAAAGTATGAACAAAGTACAATACAAATACGGTCATCCCCTCCGACAAAAAATAAAAAAATAAATAGTCAATGGTTTTTATTATTAATATAAAATAAGCTCATTAGTTTTTAAAATTATAAAAGAAAATTGGATTCGTATGGGTTGGTAGTTGTGTGATCACATCTTATATAAATGCAAATGGGTCTCAACTATCAATATTTACAGCTGGAGTAGTAAATTTCCTAGTAATTCTTTCAATTTTAGAAAACCAGTGTCTTTTAGTTTGACCTTTATTACGAAAATGAAAATAAATATTGTATATCCTCAAATAATTATGAAAACCACATACACAATGAAAATTGATTTTGAACCGATCTGTTGTTCCATTTTTCGAAAGTGAAAAACTTAGAATAAATCTATAAATCATTTCAAATTGGATGTAAAATTAATTCTACAATTTCAACCACATACCAGCTGATGACAATTTACAGATCTAAAATTTCAACCATAAGAAGCTATAATCTTCCATACGATGAATCTTGAAAGTTTTATTCTCAATAAATAGAGCTAGGTCTAATGAAAAATATATTTCATCAATGCTTGGGGCTTTCTTGTTCTGATTTTCAAACGTGAAAGCTGCAAATTTGAAAAAAAAAATAAAAAAAATATCATAAATATTTCCTCAAGTTTTCACAAAAGAAAGGTAAAAGGTAAACCCAAAAAAAAAAGGTCAATTATGAAATCTATCCATGAGGTTTAGCCAAATTATGCAAAAACACATTCTTGAATGAGGCTTCCTAACCGTTAAACAGGTCCCGATCTGTCATACTTTTATTTATGTCGTTTTTAAGAGTGTGCCATTATTTCAGTTAGAAAAGTAAATATGTTGAAAAAGTATGATTGTCTAACTGTTAGGCATGTCGAACAACAACACGGTGAATACAACAACAAGACTAGCTAGATCTTCAAAAAGTTCACATCTTTGAAGATNAGGAAAATTTATGATTCGTGTGTTGTTAGACTCAATCTTAGAGGTGGTTTCTCGTAAAGATATCTGATGAAGATGGTACTGCAAAAGTAGAAAGAAACCATACAATTCTATCTTAATATTCAGCAGCAAAAATGAAGAATGTACTACTTTTCACAAAACTTTTGATGAAGATAAAATTCATAAAATCAAGAAAACGAGTGCTTTGTGCTCCGAATTTTTTTTACCTTTCGTCTGGTTGCTTTTGGCGGGTTCCAACAAAGCAGTCTCCTTGATCTCGGTTCCAATCTCCTGCAGAAAGAAAAGAATAGTTAGATTAAACAACCAACAAAAACACAATAGCAGCATTCAACTCTTGTTCAGATCGAAACTAGTGTTGTTGGAGAGCGATAACCATGACCAAAGAAGAAAAAAAAATAAAAAAAATAAAAAACACCAAATATAGACTAAAACTTGTGTCGAAAAACCCCTCAAGAACATCTTTTGTGAAACATAGCACAAAAACTCAACCTTTTAGTCCTATTTTGTCAATTGTTAGGGTCCTATTTTCCAAGATACTTGTTTTTTTTTTTTTCTTTTCTTAAAATATTTTGAGTGACTTTGGATTTTGTAGTGTTTTTCTCTTTCTTGACATTAGTTAAAACATTCTCTTTCCATGACAATTCATAAAAATCTCAACAAGATTAATCGAGACTCGAAAAAACCAAACAAAACATACAGATTTTCCTGCTCGAGCTTCTCGGCAATCGAGACCGCTTTTCTCCTCGACCAGCCACCGAGCTGCTGTTGCGAACCTCCTCCCGCCTCTGCATGCTGAATCACGTGAGCCAGAGACATTTTTCTTCTAACTATGCTAAGACTCGGTGCATTTCCCTCACCTAACAAAGACGATATCTTCTGGATCGTCGATGTCCCTTCCCCCGAACGTGAATTTACCATACTGCCCCTCCTCTCCCTCGTGATGCTCTCTTGTTGTGGTGGGGATGCTTCAAGCTCGACGATTTCTGTACGGCTGGGGCCCACATCCAGATGGGTCGTCGGGTTTTGGGCCCCCGGTAGCAAGATGGTCCTCGAACTTGGGTCCGTTTTCGGTTCGCATCTGATCTCAATCGTTACTGGGGATTTGAGGACTGACTCGAATGCTTGTAAGACGTGAAGTCTAAACTTTTCGGCCTTCGATTTTGTCAGTTGGGAGGTAAACAGCAGCTGCACAGTGGGAGCTGCAGAAAAGAAAAGGTGTGTTGTTTTCCATTTCGATTATTTCGAAAATTTTCAAAGGGTCATTTTTGTAATGACCCCTAAAGAAAAAGATCAAATCTTTGAATAATTGAAAGGTGTTTTTCCCATTTTCCATTATTCCAAAACTTTTCAGCATGCCATTTTGTAGTGACCCCTAAAGAAAAGATCAAATCTTTGAATAATCGAAAGGTGTTGTTTCCATTTCCATTATTCCGAAACTTTTCAGCAGGCCATTTTTGTAATGACCCCTAAAGAAAAGATCAAATCTTGAATAATTGAAAGGTGTTTTTTCCATTTCCCTTATTCCGAAACTTTTCAACGGGCCCTTTTGTGATGACCCCTAAAGAAAAGATCAAATCTTGAATAATTTGGAGGGATAAAAAGAAGAAAAAGTACCTGCGCCATAGCTGACCGAGATCAGCTTTCCTTCACGATACATAAACTCTCTCACAGTATTGATAGGAATCTTTTCAAGAACTTGAAACCAAATCTCCTCTATTTCTTCCTTACGAAAAACTCCAGGTAACTGATCATTAGTCACTCCTCGACTTCTATCGTGTCTATTTCCACTAACGGTGGTACCTTTCGACATTTCAGCATTGCTTTTCCTCGGTTTTCTCGTGGGGCTGTGATGATAGCTAGTATCGGCAGAGGAGCTCGGTAGAATGTATTGCTGATCGGGAGCCAACTGTAAAAGGGCGGCCGTTAGCCAAGTTATACGGTCATTTGATAATCTCAGCTGCTTTTCGGCTTCGGAAAGTGTTTTCAGGGCCTGGCGCAGTTTTTCCATATCTTCTTTCGACACTGCAGATGATAATATTCTTTTAGTCGATCAATAAAAAGAAATGAAATTAAAGTACCCCTCTTGGAGAATGCTTGTTCGAATAATCATTTCCCTTTTTTCACAATTTAAAGAAAAAAAAAATTATTTACATCATCAAGAAAGTCGAAACAATATTAATGATCTGGTTATAACCTCATTTACTCCACTTCAAATGTTTTACTAGGTACTTTAAAAAGTTGAGTAATTGCCCCATGAATTAGGAGAAGAACAAGCAAAACAAGATGCACTTTTAACTAACCAAATGCATTATTAATTTCAGTACACAGAGATAATGCTTGATGGATGAGGTAAATCGAAACTTTCTTGGACGATGTATTCAATCAAACGGTTTAGGTAAATTGAATGAAACTCACGGGCATTACGCCGAAAGAATTTCCTTCTAGAACCTTCTTTCGCGAAATCATAGCTTCCAGCAAGAATATCAGTTATAACCGTTGCAAGCTGTGACATTAATGCCAATGGCTCGACACCAGATTCCATTATATCTCTCAGATTCTTTACCGTATTAACCGTATCGGCAGATAATGCTAAATCTAGTAGGTCCACTAACTTCTCATCTGATATAAGCCCAACCTGTATATAAAAACAAAAACAAAACAACAAGGAAATAGTAACTTTATCGACTTTCTGGCAATTACTTTCGTAAGAGTTGAAAAAAGAACACTTACCAATTCCTGTACAAGGCCAAGAGATATTCTCTTCCCGAGCAAACTCAGTTGTTCCAAAGTCATCTCAGCATCTCTCAGAGATCCATCTGACCTCGACGCGATAAGCTTCAAAGCATCCTTATCGATCTCCAAATCCTCCTTACTCGCAATCCACTGCAAAGTATAAATTACATCCGCATCCTTCAACTTTGGGAAATAGAACTTCTGGCACCTGGATATTATAACATGTGGCAAGGCCTCAAAACTCGAGCAGACGAGTACAAAAACGACCCTCCTCGGGGCCCGATCAGTAGCCTTCAAAACCGCACTCCAACATTCTGAAGACAAAGTATCACACTCGTCAAATATCAACACCTTGTACTGAGACCGAGACTGAGACTGAGACCTGGTGGGCCCCACCATTTTGTCAAGAAGGTCAACCAATCTCTCAAAGTCAACATTGCTGACCGGGCCTATTTCCCTCACGTTTCGGTCCCTTGCGCACGAGCTGCAGAGCCCGCAGGGCTTCGGATGCTCCAAAGAGTGGCAGTTCAAAGCTCGGGCGAATATTCGCGCGCACGAAGTTTTACCTGTCCCGTGGGGCCCGTGGAAAAGATACATAAGCCCGATTTTCCTTTTAATAATAGCGTTCGAGAGAGCCTGCACGACTAAATTCTGGCCCACCAAATCGCGAAAAGTCCTCGGCGCGTACTTCTGAGTGATATTCTGATGCCTCCCATTATTGTACTTCTTGTGATCCGAATCAATCTCATTCTTATCGAGCAGATCGTCAGCATAAAGGCCTAATTCCCCCGAGTAATCGCGAAGCCAGGTGGCGGCCCCACGATCACCGCCGCTCCCTTGAGATCCGTCGAGCAGCAATGGCAATGCCTCTTGACCGTCAGATTTTTTCGTGGAGGACGAGCTCGAGTTTTGCGAGATTTCGAGCATATTCGAGCCGTGTTCTTTCTTTAACCTCGTCTCAGACATGCCGCCGCAAGAGATGCTCCTCCCAGCCATGTCGAGTATCGATTTTCCTCTGTCGTGAATTCTCGACCAGTTCCAAGGGATTTTTCCACACCCGTTTTGCAGGTCAAATTTGTCATTATCACGATTTTCACCGTGGCCAAACGAGTTAGAGGCCACCGATATCTCGTTATGTGCCCCCCCACTAATATCCCGTTTATCAACCGAAGGGGGAGCACGAGCCCTTCTCGAGCCTCTAAACCTCCGCCTTTTCGGTCTATTAATATTATTTCGACCTTCCTCGGAATATTTTTCGACTCGAGCTCGATTTTTGTGATTATTACTACAGGACAAAGCCGCATGGTCACTCTCATCTTCTGTCTCGAAACTCTTGTCTTTGCTGACCTGTCGAGGGGAGGTTTCAGACATTCTGGGATTCCGGTCACCGGAAGATCGTCTACTTCCGGTGACCGGCTCGTTTTTTCCGGCCATCTTAGAAGAATGCGGGCTTGCGGAAGGGTCCCGTAAGGATTTCGACCGCTGAAGGAAAATTAGGTCCCGCATAAGGGCTCGATCGGCAATGATGGGACTGTGCTTCATGTGCATGTGGTTTTTTAAGTGGATGCAGTTTGTTAGGTGTATGTGGTTTCGTATATGGTCATGGATATTGCCGTTTACGTCTTTGAGTATTCGGTCTCGAACGGCTCGGGTCATGATCAGAATGTAAATCGGTCGATTGAAAATGTTATCGAGTAAGAGCAAGGCATTTGAAGTATATGGCTAGAGCTCCTAATTTTTCATAAATAGGTATAACCCCCAAATTTTCTCTACNGCAAAAAAAAAAAAAAAAAAATAATATTCAGGGATTTGATTCAAAATCCAGACACTATAACAGTTTCAGTGATGAAAACCCAACAAAACTCTAAGCATACAAATCTTGCAAAATGAAGATCAAGATTGCAGCTTTAGGGCATTATAAACATTACAGACAAAAACCCAAGCATAAAAATCAGGGATTTGATTCAAAATCCAGACACTAGCAGTTTCAGTGATGAAACCCAACAAAATAAAGCATAAAAATCCGGCAAAGTGAAAATCAAGATTGCAGCTTTATGGCATTAGAAACAGTACAGAGCAAGAACCAAAAACACCCACAACAAAACAAAGCACAAAAATTCCTGCAAAATAAAAATTTGGCAGCTTTAGGGCATTAGATACATTACAGAGCAAGAACCAAAACCACCCACACAATTACACCGCAAAAGACAAACTTTTTTCAAGCAACATCACGGGAAAGAGCTGCCCAGAGCACAATTTGAACCAGAGAACAAAAAAAAAGCTCCAATCTTTCTCAAACTTATAACTTGCTAAAAAGTAGAACACTTTCCCTTTTCACCAAGAAACTCACAAAAGCTTCGAGGGGTCACCGCACAAATCGACACTCAGTGAAATTGGTCTAAATGGAAAACAGAGGAAAGGTAAAGAAAACAACATTCACCTGAATCTTGGAGTTATCAGCAAGCGACCCGTTGGCATCATAATTGAACTCTCTCTTTCTCTCTCTCTTTCACCTTTCTCAGATCTCTCTCTCCATACTTAGCACATGAACTTCACGAGGGGTTTCGAGAAAACGATGGAACAGACCTCCAATTTATATTATTTAGGATTTACTTGATAAATTAGACAGAAAATTAATTAAAAAAAAAAAAGCAAAGTAATAAACGTTCGAGTGTTTGCTGCAGAGTGAGATTTCCACTGGTGTGTGAGAATTTGTATGTGTGAGATAGAGAGAGGTGAAGAGAGAGAGAGAAATATATGCCACAGAGAGAGAGAGAGAAAGAGAGAGAGACTGCTGACAAATTTCGCTGTAAAACTAGGAACTTTGCAAGAAGAGATGAACCCTTTTGTTTTTTTGTTTTTGTTTTTTTTGTTTTTTTTACTGCCTTGAAATGAAATAGGTAAGGTTTGTTAATTTTGGTCAAAATAGTTAATAAATCGAAATGATATTATGAATATAGAATTCACTAATATCCGTGCAATTAAGAAAAATAATCAGATTGGATTTTTTCTTGGTGGGTATTTTATTTCCAAATGAAGGATATTTGGAGATGCATTCAAAAATTAACAACAATGACATGTGTTTGTAAAAGAAAATATAAAGTCAAAGGAACATGACATTTGGTGGAGATCACATGTCACTTATATGATTAAAATTTATGTGATAAAATTGAAAAATAGTTTTAAGAGAAAAATGTCATCAAATATTGTTCTCAACAATACTTATAAAGTACTCTCTTAGCTAATAGCGGATTAACCGATTTAATTAGTTGATGTCATAGTGGTGCATAAATGAATGTTTAGTAAATAACAGTTGGTTGGTATAACTATTTACTGATATGTTTTTTTGAATCCTATCAAGTCAAAATGCTATTTCATTGGAATTTTTTTAATAGTTAACATTTGGGTTCAAATTAGTAATCAAATATATTTTTTTACCAAATAAGCCAATTAATTGATTTAATGAGTCAAAACTTATAAATAAGGTTCAATACGCTAAAAGCAAATCGAATAAAAAAAATGATCGATTAAAGAACAAAATATAATTCTTGGAGGTAAATTAATTTACCTAAAAGTTTGCACCTACATGGCTATGTAATCTGTGGTAAATGCACGAAAAAGAAAATATATTTTCTTTAATTCACACCACATTTTTTTTCTGAATTATGCTAACTTTTGTGGGACCAAAGGCCCATTCTTCTATTTCGAAATACCGTTAAACCATAGGCAGGTTTAGGGCCATTACTAAAGGGTAGATGGAACATTTTAATTTAAATAAATCATCTGTTTCAATGAAAATAAGGGGTTGAAATTATTGCTTTACAAATCATTCTTTATATTTTTATTCATGAAAAACGGTCATACACATAAATTTTTACCAACCTCGTTTATCTATCAGAAAATGTGTCAAAGGTTGTATACAAAAGGAAATGAAATAAATAATTGCATTCAGTTTTCTTGGTAGAATGTACAAAGTAAATAATTCAATATGTTTCTTTAGATCTGGAATTCGTGTGTGTTAGTATTTTATTTTTCTCAATTATCTTGTATTATGTATAAACAAGATAATTTTAAAGTGGTCTACATGTTCTTATTTATAAAGAGTCCAAATATTGTTAATTAATTATTAATTCTATGATGAATATAATTAATAACTAGACATCGTACTTTTCTGTTAAAATGTACCATATGCCAAAAGGTACCTTTCTGCCAAAGGGAATCATCGGTTTTAAAAGGTGACTGGGCTCATCACTTTACTACTACTGAATCTTACCCCATCTAAGAGCCCATCTAAGAGAAGTGAAAGTTCTGAAGCTTTCATCGTTGTTTTCTACAAGTTCTTCAAATAACACAAACATACACAAACAATGGCTGGATGTATATAATTATTTCGATCATTCTGCTGCAACTATATATGAATTTAAATCGGATAAATATTCATACAGTGTGTACATAAGCTATTCTAGTGTGCTTAAGGTTGGTAGTGTGTCCACCATACTCTTTTAATAACAAAATATATAATTAGTATTTTTATTTGTGTTGTTTTAAAATATATAATAAGGTAGGATTCGTCTACATGTGACATTCTTAATCCATATGTTGTATATATACCTGCTGAAAGATACTTTGTAAAATTGTAACATGTCCATTCAATTTATAATTAAGTAATTATGAAATGATGTTTTACTGGATCAAATGGATTTTCTTAACTTAAAGTATTTCAAACAAAGATTATGCATTTAATTTAATACTTTGTTCTATCATTAAAGTCTATTAAAAGATTAGATCAAATTGAAATGGTGTTTGTAATTTTCAGCCGAGTATGAGATAAATTCCGACTTCGGGTCGTATCTCTCGAGGAAGATTGTTCGGAATTTGACTCAAACAATGATTGATTCACAAAAATGAAAAATTAAAAGACTTATCATTCTACTTGCAATCTGGTGGTTGATTTAAGTTAAGTGAACGAAATTCAAAGCTTGAATTAACGCAAGAAGCAAACTTTAACAAGCAAGATGCAAACTTTAGGGAAATACTACAGTCCCGTTACGGAACCATTTCGTCGGGATTTGTAACCGTTAGATTATTATGTAACCGTCGTGGATAGTTGATCTAACGGTTACAAACCACAACTGAATGGTTCCGTAACGGGACCGTAGAATCTCCCCAAACTTTAATGCACATACTGACGTAAGCCTCAATTTGTAAGAAAGAGAAAAATAAAGAGAAATGACTAAGAACCCTAAGACCTTAGGTGGAAAGAAGTCACTCAAAGGTTCGAAAATAAGTAATCAAGCAATCGTCACTCGTGATAAACTAATCGAGATATCAATTTAATTCCCGTTTACGCAATCAACTATAAAATCACATATTCCATGGCCTAAGAGGATGATAACCTAAGCCTCCAAGTTTCTAGTAGCATCCACGAGTAGAAATAAAACGAAAAATTGTATTCTTGATGAAGAAATATTACAATAAAAAATTGGGTCTTGGAAACCTTAGAGGGAGAAAGAAAAATAAAGGGAGTGAGAGAGAGAAATTATCTTAGAAGAAAAATTTTTGCAAATGGAGAATTGTATTTAAAAAACAAGGATTAATCTATTTATAGTTACACTACAAACACACATATATATGTTAAAAAGGTT